GAAGGTCTTTTAACTGTTTAAGTTCTTCATTGAAAACCTAAATTTCTTGATCAGCAAAATCATTGTCTTTACGACATTGAATGATTTTTTGTGTCAATTGTTTCAATTTAAAATCGAGATTGGTAGCAAATGTGACTATGTATGATGATAGTTCACGACGAACTTCATCTGCTACTTGTCGAACTTTTTCGATCGACTCACGTTCCCATTTATCGATTTGTTTCATTAATTCAGGTTTTTGTGGATTAGATTTTTGTTCATCCATTTCAAGTTTTAAATCGTTAAATTGATCTTCAATTGTACCTAATTGTTGGCTCAATTCATTATGATGTTCGCTGATGTGATTAAGGCCGAAATCTTTCGAACATCCACTACATTTAACAGTCATTTTTGATTTTTTGCATATAATACACGATGTTTTGCCAGTTGTTGTCGCCATGTGAAAGTCTATTTTGGAAAAAAAGAACGAATGAAAGAGTTTTGATAAAATATGATAACAATACTATTTGAGTTTGTTCTTTATTTTGTCAACATAAGAGTTCTTTCACCATTAAGTTGTGTCGTTTTGTTGTGGAATTTCATCATGGGCGAATTCACAGCTAATGACAATCAAAGTTTCAAAACTTAACATCGAAAAAAAGAAAGTTTGTACGTCAATTGAATTTATGTTTCTCTAAAAACTTAGGAATAACTCTAACAATACACGAATATATATAATGAATTCTACAGGTAAAGAATATAGATAAAACATGCGGCCAACGAGAATAAAGTTAGCATTTGAAATCTTTGACTTTCATTGAAAGATATCTATTTGTATTTATATACCAATCTCTCAGCTATTTGTTTTTTTCTCATTTGCAAAATGATTTGATTGATGATCTGTTCAGATAAAAATTTTAAAAAAATCTGTAAAAGTGTGCCGATTTAAGGCGATTCCATTTTCCTTCAAGAAGTTTAACGTGATTTTTTTACAAATTCAGTTTTTAAATTGAGCTTATCCCTAAAGGAAAAAATCATATTTCATATGTTGGAGTTGCTTAAGCTAGAGACGAAATAAATTAGTTATTTCAATTTGGTTATCATTTTCAAAGTAATGACCTACTGGTTTTATTTTAATCTATAAGAATCTAATCATATTAAATATACAATTTTTTTTTAACATTAACTTTGAAATAAATTTCGATAGATTAAAATCAAATTCATTAATCATTTGTTTCAAGATGAGGATGAGATTTACATAACTAGATATCCATCTAAATTACATTTTAAGTAAGTCAGGAGGTAGATGTAAGTGGGTGGGTGTGGTGTTTATTTCAAACTTGTCAATAATTAATTTGGTTTATATTGTACAAATAGCAAAACAAATTAACTAAGCACGTTTTTCTACATTGGTTCTATCATTTACACAGAAAATGCTTTCTTTTACAATTTTTACTTAAATGTTATTACTATCAATATAGATAATAGAGCTTGTGAAAAATGAAATTTACTATAGATTCATCTTTGTAAACTATTTTACTATGTTTATTGAAATTCTCATTATTTAAATAGTATAATTAAGCCATCAAATAACAATAGCTTGTTTATTTAATCAAAAGATATTATGAATATGTATATTGATGTCAACACTAAAGTAGAAACAAAAAATACTAAGTATGTTTAATATATAATCGAGATTCGAAGGATAATAAGTCTAGTGTTAAATTATTAACCTGTGTTTAAATGTATTTAAAAGATAAACATTAAAATTTTGTTCAAGTAAATCTCATAGCATTGAAAACATGTTCTAAAAGCCAAAAAAAACAAAGAAACTAAATAGAAATATAATTTTATATTTACTTTGCTATATGATTATTTTCTGATTCTTTATCTTCACTAAGTTCTCCTCCTGGCGAAATCATTCGAATTCCAAGGGTGCGTGGGTGTCGATTATCTAGAGACCCACATCCATCCCTCCAGAACAAGCACTCAGAAAGGTTTAAATTACCATACTACTGAGTCCAACGCTGGTGTTTGTTTTTAGGTTCGAAATGAAGGCTTCTTTTTTCTACATATTTCGAAATCCTACAATCAGTCTCCATCTAAAGAAAAAAGTCGACATTGGAGCAATATTGATATAACATAGTAAGATAATTTTCGGGTGTGGGTGTGGATGTGTGGCTATTGAGAGAAGGCAATATCAACACACTATCCACTCTACTTAATCATTATTAGAGAAATATTTTTCATTCAATTTTTTGCTATCACTATCTACAGGTAAATTTTTCAAAAATATTGATTTTTTGACAACGATTATTTTTATTTCGATGATATATTAATTAGACTTGGGGCTAACAATCACAGAGATCAGATAAGTCTTTATTAAAAAAACAAAATGTCATGCCTACATAAAAAGTAAAAACGGTCGAGTATATGTGGGTGCAAAGGTGCTCTGTCTCTTCACAGACCCCACACTACACACACATACATGTTAGAAATTTCATTTACGCATAGTTATTCTATTCTCAGATAGAAGCTAGTCCATCAGATATTCTATGATCGTGTTGATAGCGGCAGAATTCTATCGGAAGTAACCGAGAATTTAGGCATTAGAAATGAGATAGTCGCATTCGATTGGGTACTAGGAACGTCTGACACAATTTCATTAGTTTTCATCGAATTCAGACAAAATCCGATGAAATCTAAATCGGAATTCTGGTCATTGTATTGTTTAACCTGGATTTCCTTGAGCCTTTGCTTCCAAAAAAGTAGACGAGGATGATTCGAAGGCAATGAAGCTTCTCCGATTTTAACTGCTTGCTTCTGATATTTAACTGCTTTCGGGTATGTTCTCATATTATAACAAACTTCAGCAATGTTATTGTAAGAATCAGCTAATTTCGGCTGATTCAAATGTTGTATTTGGTGTCGAATTTCACATCCTTTTTTCAAGAATGAAAGCGCTTTTGAATAGTCGTTCATTTTATTGTATACCAAACCGAGGTTATTGTAAGAATCAGCTAAATTCGGATGATTCGATATTTGTATTTGTTGTCGAATATCAAGTCCTTTTTCCAAGAATGAAAGTGCTTTTGAGTAATATCCCATGTTATTGTATATCAAACCAAAGTTATCATAAGAATCAGCTAAATCAAGATGGTTTGGTAGTAGTACTATACTTCGAATTTCCAGTGATTTTTCTTGAAATTGAAGCGCTTTAGAATGTTTTCCTACATTGTTTAACACTACACCAATGTCACTAAAAGAGGTAGCCAAATCTGGATGGTTTCGAGGAAGTATATTCAGACGTATTTCACATGCTTTATCATGGAATGAAAGTGCTTTTTCATACTCTTCTAAATTACAATACACCGAACCAATTTTACTGTAAGAATCAGCCAAATCGGCATTGTTGGGAGGGAATATGTTGTGACGAACTGCTAATCCGTTTTCATAACATGAAATTGCTTTTGAATATTCTCCAAGATTAGCATATACGAGACCGAGGTTTGTGTAAGATGAAGCTAAATGAGGATCGTGGATAGCGGATTTCTTTTCGTATACTTGAATTGATTTTTGAAAATAAGAGATCGCTCCTGTGTAGTCACCCAGCTCGATTTTTATCATTCCAAGTTGATAATAAAAATTCCATATTTCAAAGTCATCACTAGTTTGTTTCAAAGGCATCATGCACAAATAAAATGCCTTTTCAAAACTGCATATTTTTCTTAGCAAATTATTCAAACGGTGATATTCTGTTGGTCCTTGGATTTCATTTCTCATGGATTTAGTGAGAGAGCTCCAATAGCCATTGTTATGTTCCATCATTGTAAGTTGTACTTGCCAAAATCGAGATCCTTTGTCTATTTGTTGAATTCGTTCAATTCGAAAGACGCTGTGCATACTAAATAGTACTAATTCTTGGCCTGACTGATATTGTAAATCTCGAATATTTGCAAATGGAGTCGATGAAATCGATAGATCGACAGTGATCACAAATAACACTCCAATAGATTCTTGGTTCTCGGCTGCCTGCCTAGCATAGGCAATAGAAATAAGACGATCTGGACTAGCTGATAAAAAATGGTTGAACGAAAACAGACCGCCAACATGCGATTTTAATTTTTGTAAATCACTTTGTGGTAGTCCTTGGCCACGGTAGACAGTCAATAATTTTCCTTTACCTTTCTTGAACTGTTTGGAGTGAAGTTTCTCTAATTGTTCATGAAGATCGCGAACAAAGAAACCCAACTTGATGATCGCCTCAAAATCTAGAGTTTTCAAGGAGCGTTGAAGCACTGAGTAGAGAAAATGCGGTGCTGTATACCACCAAATGGGTGAATGTTCATGATATTCTTGTTGAAACTGTTCGATGTCCCGTTTTGGATATTCGTTATCATGCGAATCACGACAATAGGCGACAAATTCTTGAATTGATCGTTTATCATATTTCATAGCAATAAGAATTTCTTTTAGTAGAAATGTGTACATGTAACTTTGATCGATAAAATCCATGTTTTGATCTATCGCATTATTATTCAGAGTAATCGAGGTATCGATAGACTCGTTTTCGATATTTTTCGCATCGATTTTGATTAATTCACAAATCGCTTCGAAATCTGCTTCAATACCTTTAATTTTGGACCAGTTCTTTGTCCACTGTTCATGCTTTGTCGTGTCTCGACAGAATATGAATATTGAATAGATTTGTGGTAAATGATGAATGTGAACAACTATACTTTCACCAACTGATAGAGTTGTCACCAGCAATATTTTTGTGTCTTTTACTTTATTTAAAAAGTTGACGCATGTTGCAATATCAGTGAAAATTTTCACATCATTGACAATACTCTGTATTTGACTAATTGATTCAGAATAATATTGATGTGATTCGTTGATTTCTGAATCAAGCCAGATAACAAGAAGATCTAAAACGATACAGGACTCAACGAATTAGAATAAAAGAAAAATGCCAAAGTCATTTAGAAATGTTTTGTTTAGTTTCATAATTCTATTGTGTTCTAGAGTCGAAATTCTACTTCCTTATTATGAACTCCTGCAAATATAACTCTGTCCATAAAAATTATATTTTAATATCCTCAAAAAATAGACACTATCAAAATTTGGATGCCTTTTTTGATTTTCATAGAATCCATATTCAAAAGAATTTTGAAAGTTTCTATTGCTGGAACGAAAATGACATTGTTATCTACTTTGATGATGAGAACACGTATTTTTGATAGATATATATATATATTAGTCTTACCTGGTTTTGACGTTATGCTAATCGTATCCGTGACTGCTGGTAATGTTTCATTATTGTTGTCCGTTATTTCTACTAGATGTACAACTTTTAGACCATCATTAAATTTTAAATCATTACTTTCCACACTTAATCGAGTGCCTGGACCGAGCAATACTTCGTTTTTATCTGGATATTTTGTATAACCACTCAAATTTCTACCGTTTACGGCTTCAATCATGAAGAATATAGCATTTGTATCGTTGCCGAGAAGTTTTTTGATGACATTACGTGTGGTTGAGCAAGAACTCACACTTCGCCAAATTATTTCACTACCTTTAATAAAATTTTTGTTGACGCCATCCTTCGTACCACACCAAAGACGTTTTTTTTCTCTGGGCAATTTTGTAAGTGCAATTTCGAATAATTTGAGATAATTACCCCATGGTGTCAATGCAGATGGATCTTCGGATCTCAGATCCTTATTCAACAATCGATATAAACTATGAGCACCCCATTCCATGGTATAAAGATAAATCGAGGCTGATTCGTCATGTGTAAGGTTGTGTTCGGATGGAAAATGGCATTTTTCTAAAGCTTCCTTGATATATTGACGCAAATGATCAATACGAGGCACAATAGGTTCAAGAGCATGTTCAAGTGAAAGTAATGATTGACCTCTATAACCATAGTTTAGTGAAATTCTCTTGTCATTAAGATCAATGTCGAGAAATCGACTCATCACGAGTTTTATATCTTAGAATAAACAATTTCACTATTAATGTTTTCAAAATGGCATACGAAAATTCACAAAACAATCGTCTTTTTAGGATGACGTGATTTTGACTTGATGATGTTAAAAGTGAATTATTAAATCGTTTAATCTATTGACTGAATCAGTTTGGTTCCGAGACACAATAATTAATCAGTGAAGGTTAAAAAAACCACTTTGATGATTATTATGAAATTTGATGACTTTTGCTGTATACTATGAATCGATAGTAACGTTTTTGATGAACTATAACATGGACAATAACGATCAGGTCGAAAGTTTTCTAACGAGACTCTTTATTGATTTATACTTTATCTAGAATATTCAACAACAATCAATAACAAGTAACTTAATAAAAGAAAAAGGAAGCCTAGACTGTTTTCGAAAACAAATTTTTTAATGGTTATTAATCTATTGAGTTATAAAATTCAAGTTACAATAGTGATGAACAGATTGCCAAAGTTTTCCCATGGGAAAAACCAATTCTCAGAAATTTCATCTTCATAGAAAGAAAATTTCGAAACTCGTCAATTCTTTAAAAGAGAAATTTCCATTATTAATGTTAAAATTTTGAAGCTATTGTAGAATTTTGCGAAAGCAATTTATTTTTTTTTTAAATAATAGAGTGTTTGCAGTTAATCGCAAATGAATAGTTTTTTCGAATTCTTTTGCAACACTTAAGACATGCATTTTATTCTGATTCCGATCAATTTGCACTTCCAATACTCGATTTTGGCTGAAATTGAAACCGAATTAGAATTTGCCTATGTTGATCTTACTGTTTAAATCACCGTGAAATTCATTTTAGCTGAATTGCTTATACGCTATTTTAGGGAAGGTCTAGGTGTCAAGAAGGATCTTTCTTTCATCCACACGTACAAAAAATGCTGTAACCATTGATACCTACACTCACACTCAATCACAGACAATCTCTAATTTATGTTAGAAATACTTACAGATAAATACTGGATTGAAAAGAAAAGAAAAGATAGAAAACTGAATCAAGAAGATCACTAGCTAAAAAGAAACATGTATGAGATCATCATTAGAATCGATTTCATGTCTATCTCCATTGCGTCTAATGTCTAAATCATATCGATGCTACGTGCGCATTATCGAATATCTTGTTTCTGCTTTTAAAATCATTCTAATAAGTTACTCACCACAATAAAATGAATAAGATCGAATATAAGAAGAAAATTTTATATTATGGTTGTGTTGATTAGGCTTGTAGGTGAATTGGTAACACTGTTCGCTTGATTTATCAAATGATTTTTCGTTTTTACCTTACCACCGAGGCAACTTTACACGCTTTCTATTGTTTGTTATTTTGCCTAGCTTTTTTTTGTTTTGATCGATTTTTTTTAACAATACCTCTATCGCAAAGGCTCTACACAAGATGTGCACGTTGTACATGTAATGATCTGCATGGGTGATTTGTAAGCAATGAATCTTGCAAACGAAATAAAAACAAAACATTTATATTTCAATAGATATTACAAAGCAAGAGAAAGAAGAAAAAGCTGCACTATTGTTATATTTTGAAACTCGTCTTTTATGATATCAGTGTATGTTGATAAACAAAAAGCTATACAATAAAAAAATTTCAATGGCTATTCTCATATACAGTTGATAATCGAGCAATTTCTATTGTGCATACTCATTTTCATATACTTGAAATATTTTGTTTTTGAAGCAAAGCTAGTTTAATATTATGAAGACATCAAATGGATTGAATGCATACAAAGCACAATATATAATCTAATTTCTACAATAAATGAATATATGTTTATACACTAACACTTTCATGCATTCAAGAAAGCCACTTTGGGTAAAATAAATGACTTCAAATTTAGTAGAAATGTTATGATACAAGGATTTAAAAAGGTTTTATCCATGTCTTTCAGTACAAGAATGGTATTGGCTCATGAGAGAAAACTTAATGAGGATATGGGTGTCAGTATTTCTATGACCTATTGAGATGCCACATTCATTTCCATTCTCTTTCTTGTTTTAATAAACGATTTGCTCAAGGGTGTGTGTGAACACAAGATCCACACCCACTGTAATGCCCTGCTTTGTTTTTCTTGTTTCATAAGATTTAATAAAATAGAATTCTTTTCTAAGAAAAAGTTTGATGTGTGTTGGTAGTCTTCAGATTTCAAGGTGCACTTGTGCTCAGTCTCATTTATCTTGATAAAAACAGTTTATCTCATGATTGGAACAATTTATTTGATTCTAACGAGTAATTAAGTTTCATCTGTTCACTACACGTGCTGTGTGTTTCTTAACGTTGCTTCAAACAAGCTAGAAAGAGTTCTAATTATAACAAAAACCGTACTTATTTAGAAGACAATCGTCTCAACTGGTCTTGTGCCACTCTCAATAAAGAATGTGAGAGTTTCGAAACAAAGCAACCACGATGTAGCAGAATTAGGCACCGTTGGAAAATAGCATGAGTGTCGAGATGGATAAAGAGAGAACGACCACAACACTCACAACCTCAATATTTCGTGTATACTGACTATTGAAATATTATCATGGGCGGCGCAAGGTCAGTTTTGTAGGGGTAGCAATAAACTGTTAAATGAGCTCTGCTTTCTTTCCCTTGCTCAGTCCGATGCAAAAAATTTTTTTCATGAGAACTGAACTTCTCGATTATACTGTATGCAAAGCTCGAGCATTAACTCCTCTAGTAGTGCATTAAACCCGCTTTAATTAGGATATGCACTTTTTATTGAGTACGTTTACTTCTTCAATTTTAGTCTTCAATTACTATTAGATGTTCACAAATGTTTATTATTAATAGGAAAAAATACGTTCTTATTCGAGAATGATATACAATTATTTTGTTCGTTTTCAAAAATTTTTTTTTCTTTTATGTTTTTTCGATAGAAAAGCAGTTTCAATAGCATCAATATCAATTTCATAATCTCGTTCAAACGGGTGTCTCATAATAAATGACCGACTTTTGTATTTCAGATTTTAATCGTTAAAAATTTTTATTAAAAAACCGAGTATACCACAAGATGCAGCATGAAAAGCTCTACAATTCACAAAGCAAGACTGATTTTGGTTGTTTAATTTTGATTTTGAAAAAGACCAGATGCTATACGACCACTTTTCGAAGGTGTCAAAAAACCATTCCTTCGCTCTTATTTTATCTGTGTATCACTTAATATGTTTTCTTTAAAAAAGTATAATACACCAGAAGGTGCAGCGTGAAAAGATCTACAATACGCAAAGTAAAGCATGTTTTGGTTGTGTAATTTTTGTTTTCAAAAAAAAGTAAAATTCCGTGAGAATAATATTCATTATACCTAAAAGATCATTTTTCTATTCCAATGAGCAAATCATTTTTTTCTTATTTCATCCTTTTATCACCTAATGGGTTTTATCGCATATATCTCAAGATGCAGCGTAAAAAGTTCTACAGTGTACAAAGTAAAGCTTTTCTAATTGTATACTTTGTGTTTTGAAAAGAAACAAAATTCTGTGAGACCGTTTTGTACAGCGTCGAAAATGGATTGCGCAGAATTCCATTTATTTTGAAAATACCCAGTATACAATTGAAATAAGCTTTCTTTTGTAGCTGCAGAGATCTTTACGCTGCATCTAATGCTAATCTGTGCTTTTTTAAACTGCATTTAAAGATTAAAATATGAAATAGAAAAATTGACCATTTATTATGGGACACTCGATATATGTTGCGGGAAACAGGGTGTGGGTATGTGGGTGTAGATGAAAAGGATAGTCACACTACCATCAGACCCACACCCATGCCCACACACCCCACACCCTCAGGTAAGAAGCACTTCGAATTTCGGATTCCTGACATTGCACAGATAGCAATAATTCTTCATACATATATAATGAATGAAAATTTACTATTATTATCGAAATTTGATTTTGCATTTCCATCGAATCTTGCTCTGATTATCAAGGAAGAACAAACGTCTTTATTCAATCTGTTCATATTGAGAAATTGTTAGTAAACTATGTCATGTTTCATCAAGCGTTTTGTTTAAATATCGACATTTAGCATGCGATATACTTGAGCTTTGCCTATCGTATCCATATCAAGCATCAATTGTCATTTCCTGATTGCAAAGTTTTGTTCTATTTTCTGTAAAAATCTTTGATTAGGAAAAAACTTTAATCTTTTATTAACAAAAGACTTTTCAGCAATACTACAATAATGGTTTACCAATTATAAGTACTAGCAAGCATTGATCATTACTAAGATTGGTGCCTTAAATCTATAGATTACTTATATTATTTGGATTTTACTTTAGACCAACGAAGCATCATATCGGCAGAATCGGATAAAATTCGTATCATATAGAGATCTCAAACGATGTTTCAACAAACATCAGACAATGTGCCATTCTCGCAATCATTGGTTCATAAAATATGAACCTCAGATACGAAAAACAAATCTTGATTGATCTCCACTAGTTGCTCAATATCGATACACCTTTTCAAAGTATTAAAGTGCACACATAGTCAAGGTATGAAAGAATTACTATGCTTTATCTATGAAAAAAAAAGATAGACTTCTGGTATTTTCCATTTGAGCAATATAGATCTCAACATTTATGTATTGTAGGTTACGTATTTTCAATTCTGAAATTTTGATGAAAATTTACTCAAAAAAAGAGATACTTCATTGAATACTTATGCAGACAAACAAAAAAAAAGAAACATCACTTAAAAAATCATATGCTGATATTAACTTTGATAACTTCAAGAGCTTTTTTTTGATTTATTAAAAACTAGTTTACGTATAAGCATCAGTACTACAATGAAAATAATCACTTCCATTCTATATAGACATTATCGAGTACACGTTTTATTCTATAACTCAATAGAAGCTTTTCAACAATAATCATTTTTTCTAATTTTTTAATGATATCATCATTATCTGTTGTTGGAATGCGAAAACATAATAAACGAAGATGATCGTTACGATCATAATGAATTCTCGTGATAATACACCGCAAAACATGTTGAATATCCATATCAGCTAGATAATCCATTTTGAAATATATCATATGAGGACAAAGTTCCAAAAGAAAATAAAACTGTTCAATGTCATTCATCTTCTCAAGATATGCCTTTGTAATTTTACTTGTAAATTTTGTTGGATCAAATATAATTGATTCTTCAAAAGATAACCTTGTCGGTTGATCTAATGATAAAGAACGAATTTTTAAGGTACTAAGATCTGGTAATAATTTCATAATTTCAATTAATGCATCAGTTAAGAAATTTTCTTTTAGCATTACCAAATGATAAATTTGTGCTACACTTGAAAGACGTCTAATAGCTACCATTGCTTCTTGATAACAACGACGAAAACGAATGGATCGAACGGTAAGTCGAGTTAATTTCGAAAATTCAACAGGAGAATCGAAAGTCTTATGTTGTGTATCATCATACCATCTTTTTCTAAAAGAAACAAAAATAATCTATTTCATATAAAAAAAGATCTCGATATACCTATATGGACAAACCAAATACTTGATAGACCTATTAAAGATTTCAGTTTCAAGTATCCATTGTCGTTTAATCCAAAATGATGCATTGAATTGATTTGGTAATGCGGAATATATAGGATATTTAGGATTACCATCAACATGTGCAAAACATCCTAAATTAAATTTTTCCAATTGAGGCAAATATCTTAAAATGAATCGTTCCCATCGACGAACGCTAAAAGAAGCTTTCTTCATGTATTTAAAACAAATACGTAAACATTTTAATTCAGAATATATTTTGCTAATGAATATTTCAAATTGATCAAAATTTCCCACAAAAATTCGTATCGAAAGATGTGTTAGATTTGTTAATGTGATTGGTAAGATAGATCGAATGTTTAGATTAAACACATCTGTGTGAGCAAGATACAGACGACGAAGTTGAGGTGTATAAGACAAAAAAGCAACAAGCTGCTTGAGAGTTAAATGATGATCAGTAGAAAAATATTCAATAGTACTTCGTTGTTCATTGGTAGCCATCGAAAGTTGAATCAAGCTTTCGTTCGAATAACCAGAAATTTTGCTTGACTTTAAATTAGGTAAAGCTAGTATTAATTGATAAATCTGATGTAGATGTTTAGAAGTTTTAAATGTGCAAATAGATAACGAAAAAAGACGAGGTAAGTCGGCTAATTTAATAAGAACTGGAATAAGTATATCTGATGGTGTGCCACTAATATGAAGTGATTCGAGACAGCTCATTGACGAGTCGGTGATAAACGATGACAAAAATTCATTTTTTTTTGATAGTGACCATAGTTTGATGGAAAATATGTTATGCTTATTAAGAAGAAGAAATTGTTTATAGTTATTCGTAAATACTTTCTTATATCTTGATCGATCAAGTTTGATTTTATATAAAAGAAATGAAGAATTGATAAGTTGTTCAAAACGATGATTAAGATTTGAAAATGCTTTATATGTGTCATAACCATCAAGATAATAAAATATTGCATCGAACAATTCGCTAGGTAAATCTTCAATACAAGTTATTGATAGATCATCTATTAAAATGCAAATGTAAAAAATGTTTCGTATCTACTATTTGAATAAATTACTTTGAAATTCCTTTGTTTCATCTTCTTTGGATTGATTAAAAGTTAATGTTCGTTTATCTTGATCCATATGTTTCTTTAAAAATTTCAAATACTATATAAAAAAAGAATTTGAATGCAAAACTTTTGTATACAAAATAAAATGACTAAGTCTTTTTAGTCGGGTCAATCTGAATTCTTCAAATGTATTCACTTATTGGTACTACTCTAGACCAACGACTCCTTTGCCTTATTGGTTACGTAAATAAAGAGGAAAGGATAAAAGAAATTATTCGTTCATCTGTTTATATTCGTGAATTCAACAGAACGAAAGATGGCGTACATTTTTAGGATGTGCATAATCATGTGGCTTTTAAGATAATTTCTTTAGGTACATCCACAATCTATTGGAAAGCAGGCTATAATAGATTTTTAGAATGGATTATTCATGCGCATTTTTACTCAAGACTGCTCAAGATGTTGAGCATACATACAGTTCAAATCTGGACAGTATTAAAGTTGAACACATTTTGCATATTTTATTATCATTATTTCAGCTTTTTCGTTTTTTATGGTAGAATTTTCAAAGCCTTTTCGTAGTATGCTCAATATGTCTCGATAGTACATTGACAAACATCAGCACATGCTGCCTGTATCGCTGCATGAAGGTAAGCATGATCTGATTATGTTTTTAGCATCAAATTCTCCCACTGTAACTCGGCTAGTTGCTGTACTACAGAATAAAACAATCAAAAAGAAGCGTATCTCTTGTGTAAAGCTTTGGTGAGTTATTGAAAATAATTGAGCCAATAAAATGATATAATTTAATCCGAAAGAGTTGACTGTTGTTCTAGAGTTCCAATTTGTTCTTTGTTCGTCATAGTCATCATTGTGCTGCCCTTTGCTCTGTCTTGCCTACTATTACTCAAAAGATTTTTGGAATCAATACTCCCTAGACTGAAAGGATAGGGTCTAGAAACGAAAATTCACGTGCGTCTGTCTGTAACACAGTTACCATATGACAACTATGACACAAATGACCATTTCCATGGCACGAATGACGATTTCTATGGTACAAAATAATGAACGTTTCTGTGGTAGAAATGACCATAGCTATGACATAAATGACCATGATTATCAACTAGTTATTATCGAGCACATAGTAAAATGCTCGAAACGACCATTACGTAGCTATGCTACAACTGAGCATCTAGCACTTTTGATTCAAGCGATTGCAGTGAACATGATACTTATCACAGACCTAGCTACTAAATTTGAAATTAAGAGGAGAGTATGACCTGTTGAATAATAAGATTGACCAGCACTGTTATGAAATTTTTTCAAGTCTGATTGAATTTTGTTTGCTCGTTTAAAAAATCAGCATGCAAATTTAAAATGAATTACGATTTCTTAACTATGTACATGTGAACTTATAATTAATAAATTAAAAGAAATCATTTTTCTAAAAATAGTGTGCATTTGAATTTCAACTTTTCATTAAAAAAAACTCGACCTTCAGATATAACAGGGGTGTGGATGTGTGGGTGTGAGTATGAGATGGGTGTGAGTGTGGATGAAAAGAAGTTCCACACTTACACTCACAGCCACACCCCACACACTTTTTTGTCTTCAACATCTTTTTAATCTTTACGAAACTTTTCATATAATCTCTCAACTGTTCTAAGAACTGGAGTCCGTACGTCGAAAACAAAGTACAGCTTATCATGGATAACTATACCTTGTTACGCCGTGAACAACGGATATATTAAAAAAAACTTATCGTAGCCCTATGTAGATGGAGGATAAAATTTAGAATAATCCATTATGTTAAGTTTCATTGGATACATTCTTGTTTAGTGAGATACATAACTTCTCTGTTGTTGGGAGTACAATAAACTTTTCTTACTTGTGCTGTTTATTGCGAAACAAAGGTACAGAGGCGTGGAGATATATTCGATGGTGATTTCAAATATAAGTTTCGTACAGAAAAAGATTCCTTACAAATCGATTACCTTCTTCAATACGTCAAGAAGGTAATACAAAAAACGTCTATCTGTGTATTTTCTGATTGTGTTCTCGAGATTATTGCAACAGAGAAGGATAACTTTCGAATGCTTATATCAACTTAGTTAGTAAAGAAGAAAAAGAAAACTTGAAAAAGGCTACCTAGAGTCGATTTTATCCTATTGAAGGTTTTTAGTATCACTCCTGTTCACAACGAAATGAGACTATGAACAAAAGTCCGTTGATGAAGATGTGTGCTATTTCTTTCACACTATCAATATAATTCTGAAAACAAAATGATCTTGTTTTACAGTTAATAGTTTATCAAAGGAGCATAGGCGGCGGAGCCTGTAGGCTCACAAGGCTTGAGCCTACCCTAGCTGAGAAAAGGGTAGGCTTGGGTAGGCTCAAACCAGCGCAGATAAAGGCTTGGGTAGGCTCAAACCAGCGCAGATAAAGGCTTGGGTAGGCTTAATTATATCTAAGTCTTTCATCATTGTTTAGTTTTCACGTATGACTGACAGTGACAGTAAGAGATGACGGATTGTTACAAAGTTAGTTGATACTTTCTTTATCACCAATACCAACTCGAATTCAATAAGATATCCATTGGACTTTAATATAAAATTTAAATCTACCAAGAAATCAACATTGAAAAACAATACCGAAAGTCAGAGTGACCAGATAAAAAAAAAATTGAAAAATCAGAAGATTATTTTTCAAAATCAGAAAACGAGCAGGAGTTCTCTCTGAAAAATCAGAAATTAATCAGAAAGGGCAACACTCTGCAAATTAGTGGATCATATGCTAAAATGTGGGCATCGAAAGCTCAGCTGTGTTTCTGTTCATCGACTTAAACATTATTTTCAAAGATGTTTCACTACAAACAAAGACAATTGTTACAGTCACATGTATCACTCCTTGACTCATCGGTATTTGTTTATTCATTTTGCATTCTTTGATGCTTTATTTCTCTCTATATATCTCTCCCTATACTTGATGAAGGGGAGACAATCTGAAAATAAACGAACATCGAGAAGATACAGGGAAACCTCTAATAACAATATTGTAAATATATCGTATAGTTAATACAAAAACATCGACAAAAAATACCTAACGTTAAACCTTTTTTAAATTCAAAATTCGTTGACAAAAACGAACAAAACGAATAATCGCCTATATTCTGCGTAGATCAAGAAATCCAACGAAGAAAAGGGCTATGTGCCATTATCTCGGTATTATTCATATTTCTTATCTTTTCTAATTCGTTCTAACAAGTTTGTTTAAGATAACATATGCTAATAAAAACCTTCTCAAGAATAACTGCCATTAATTTTTATTTTAAGTTAAGCCTTATCTTGGTTCTATTTTGATCTGATTATGATAATCTGTCTATAAATGCTGCATACGACTGAATATCGATGCGGCGTCAGAATCCAAACGAGGAATAGAAAAGTTGATTAATAGAGAAGAATGATGAAACACTATTGATCTATTATAGTAATGGGTTATAATCGTACCTAATTTCAGTGAGAAAGCAGCGATCTAAAAATATACCGAATTGAGAAAAAATCAAAAGATCAGAAAAAGATCAGAAGCATGTTCAAAATTCAGAAATTTTCCCTAGTTTTCAGACGATCTGGTCGCCTTGGCGGAAGTCGATTAGTGATTCGTTCCCCTATCTCGTTTATCTTGAAAATTGAGCCTACCCTAGAGAGAAATCGTTCCGCCGCCTATGCAAAGGAGCAATTTGAAGAATTCAGATAGTGAACTGCACAATTATAATTCAGAAGTTCTGTGATCAAAGTGAGTCATACCTTGGATACCAATTCATACGTTAATTATAGGCACGCAAAAGTTACATTTAGACACGTATGTGGCGACATCTATGTCATTGAAAAAATATGTTTATGAAACTTAGGAATAGAATAGCATCTATTCATTATAAAGGATCGATAATCAAACAATGGCGATCGACACCGATGAGCTGTGAAAGTCATTTGCCTCTAAAGCTTGATATAAAAAGTAGAGTTTGTCTTTTTTTAATTTGAAACGATAATCATTCGAACAATTAGAATTTTACTTAATGAAATCAGTTTAATAGAATGACAAATAACATCTTGTGTTTTTTATCTTACCCTAACTTTCATTTACATAAGCCAACGAGAGACTGTATTTAGATTTACATAAAAATCTTTCTCAACTATGTATTCTATTCATTAGATAGCATGTTTTCTAATTGTCAGAAGAGAGTTTAATTTATAATAATATCAAATGCATAATCTAAACTTTGCTCTTTTTTAGTTTTAAGAAAAATCGCATGTGAAATCGTCCACTGGCATGACCTTTTTGTAAACATATTTCTAGGTCAAAATTCGAACAACTTCACTGAGAAGTTTATTGCGCGCAAGGACTTGATTCATTCTATGAATTAAAAATAAACTAAAACAAGTTTAGGGCAATGGAAGATTCCATGTGTGGATAAAGAACATACTTTGTATTTTGCATTTGATGCTATTCAATGATTATGTGTCTCATCTGAAAATTAAAAGAAATTCTATTGGACGAATTAAGTATTCAAACTTGTAGTTAATTTATCTGATCTGTTTTTTCGCAAAATCAGCAACTTGATCGGTTTTTGTTCATAAACAAAAAATTTCTAAACCTGAGACAGAAATGCTTCTGTACTAGTCATTATTTAGCCAATCATGTTGTTCAATAAATGCCAAAACTCAGGATACTTTTTTTCTCGAAATTTAATTTTCACCGACATCTAACTTACTAATCGTAGAGATTTTCTCTGAAGCAATTACTAAATTTTAAAAACTAACATTGAGGCTTATGTTACACTTAAACCAAGACCTTGTCAAGTTAAAGCTCTCTAAGACATGAATTAATTTTCGTACGTTTATTGATTAAAGTATCTCAGCTGAAGCATGTACATCTGTTTGAAGATATTCCTAGAGACGAATATACTTGGACTTAATAAGGTGTACAAAGACAAAATTTCGAAGTTTGACAAGCAATTTGTTTTGCTCATGTACTTTATAAAAAATGTGTTCGATGAGACTAATATTCTTAATAGTT